TCAAAACACATGGGCAGACACGTGCACTGGAGGGCTCAGGCTGTGGAACCTGCTGGAGACGGTTCCTCCTCCTTCCTGTGTCCCCCTCCCCCTCCCCTGCCGCCACCTCAGCTCCTTCCTGAATCACCACCCGTCTGTCTCTGGCCTGGGTGGGGGGCGGGTCTGTCCCGGGGAGGGGTCGGCCCTGGGTCCTTCTTTCCATCCTCAAGCCCTCCTCCCCTGAAGCGGGAGCCAGGGCACGCCGCTTTCCTGGTCCACGTGTCAGCGCCGTCCCTTGGAGAGCCCCCAACCCCTGTGCAGATCCCGGCCTCATCACCCCGTTATGGGTCCTCAGGATATGCCCACTGGCCGAGCGCCCCCCCACTGTCCACACTAACTCATGTGGGCACCCTCACACCTATGCCCAGGCTCCGGGACAGGCGGAGAGGCCCAGACCTGGGGGAGGGAGAGGAGGGGGGAATGGCCGACTAAGCCCCTTGCAACAGCTCTGACCTCTCTCCGCTGGGCGGGCCCTGAAGGGGTGTCCATGTCGGAGGCCTGGCTTTGCCGCAGGATTGCTGAGCTAGCCCAGCACCCCTGTGCCCCCTCTGACCCCAGTGCACCGCCTGTGAAGTGGGGGGGCATTGCTTGAAATCTGCCAGTCTATGGTCCAACATGCCAGCAGACTGGAGGCCGTGGGGGTGACCTCTGGAGAGGGCACGGCTGCCACTGGGGTTGCCTGTGAGCTGCAGGGCCTTCCAGGTGGGGGGGCAGGGACCCCGGTCACCACAGGGGCAGGGTGTTCCGGCAGCGTGTCCACACCTGCTCCTTCCTCCCCAGTCCCGGGAATGGCACCTTGGGGGGGGGGGGGGGGGAGGCTGGCGCTGGGCCGCTGGCAGCCGGTGACGCCTCGTCCCCATTCAGCGACAGCTGTTCCCACTCCCTCCTGAGTGCCGCCTGGAGAGGCTGGCTTTTCGGCTGGAAGAGCAGCCAGACCGGCTCCCACCCTGCTCTGCGTGGGAACTGGGCCGGCGGTGCTGGCCTTGCTGTCTGTGTGGATGGAGTGGGGTGCTGACATGCCCCACCCCCGGGGCCCTGAGCACTGACTGCTCCCACTGTGGTCCGGGAGCCAGGCGTCAGGGGATTGCTCTGCGTCCAGAGCAGGGCCCGACCTCTGTCCAACCGTCTGCGCTGCCGTCCAGCCACGCGGTGGCCTCCTCGCCTGTTCACGTCTACTTCGAGGAGCCCATTGTCAGCCCCGGCCTGTGGCCGAGGACACTGAGGTGGGAGCTGGCCGTCTGGCCCAGGACGGGCAGTGCAGGAGGCAGACCCAGAGTGTCCGGCTCTGCCCGCCCGCCCCTGGCCTCCGCTGGAGAGGCTGAACACAGCTGCCTCCTGCCTGAGGCTTCCCTCAGGGGCAGGAGATTTCAGGCAAAATAAAAAAAACACACACACAACCACTCCCCACGAGAAGATCCGGGAAGGCGGACGGGAAGGCCGGCGGGAAGGCCGGCGGGAGTGGACAGGCTGGCCTGCGCCTGAACCGCCCGAGCCCACGCGGCATGCATTTGTGTAAGTGAAGTCCTGTGTTCCATTCAATTGTGAGCTGGTAGGAAAGGAGGAAAAGAATCATCCAACATATTCCCTTACAGCTCAGGACGGAATTCAAAACACAGTTGCCCGGCTCAGGCAGGCGGAGTCGGGGAGACTTGAGGAAAGCAGCTCGGGCGTGGACCCCCGGGGCGGGCGGGGCTGCGGGGAGG